TCTTACAATGATGTATATGTAAATTTCCCGAGATTAATAAAAGTTCCTCTCCTTGGCATGGCACCGCCTAAAAAGGCTTGTGGATTTTCTCCCGATTTGAGTTTCTATGCATAAATGCTTTCTCTCCGCTTTATTTATTTATTTATTTACCGGATTTTGCTATTTGGTGCGGTGCCGACCCGGTACCGAGTTCATCGGGTCGACGCTCCAAAAAAGCAGTTTCCATCAATTAATAATAATAATGATAATAATAATAATAATAATAATAATAATGATGATGATGATGATGATGATGATGATGATGATGATGATGATGATGATGATGATGATGATGATGATAATAATAATAATAATAATAATAATAATAATAATAATAATAATAATAATAATAATAAGAATAATAATAGTAATAATAATAATAATTGATAGAATTTAGGATGGGGTAGAGGTAACTGGATTGGGTAATAAGACGCTTGGGCTGAACCACATTAAAAGATTGAATCCAATCGATTAGTTAGTTAACCTCAAGAACTTATATACCGATTATTTTACTCTTCAACATCCGATGTGAGATGCACTTTAACACTCCCCCTCAAGTGGACAAACGAGCCATTTTGAATCTAACCGGTTGACCACTTGCAAATGAACTCCCATTCCCTTGACTTTTTTTGAGCGACAACACCTAAAGGACCACGAGCCGCTGGGTATGGACTTCCAGACGAGCAATCGTGTTAAACGGGCCACAGGCCGTTGGGTACATACTCCATACGGACAACTGGGCTAAAGACAAACGAGCCGCTAGGAATGAACGTCTAGACGAACAAGTTGACAAACGAGGTGGGCCAAAACTTGCTCCGATACCATGATAGAATTTAGGATGGGTAGAGGTAACTGGATTGGGTAATAAGACACTTGGGCTGAACAACATTAAAAGATTGAATCCAATCGAGTAGTTAGTTAATCTCAAGAGCTTATATACCGATTATTTTACACTTCAAGTTCCGATGTGAGATGCACTTTAACAATAATAATAATAATAATAATAATAATAATAATAATAATAATAATAATAATAATATTATTATTATTATTATTATTATTATTATTATTATTATTATTATTATTATTATTATCTAATATTGTTGCTAATAGTACCAAAAGTAATAATGAGTGTGACTCACAACAATGTTAGTAAGATTTAGAAAATAGTTTGAAACAAAAATTAATGGTGTGACATAGAAAAAAATTTGAAATGAATGGAGCATAAATTAGTTAATAAAAACATGAAAGTTCTTCAATTTAGTACCTCATCCTTCTCAAAATGTTCTTCGTTTGCACTATTTACATTGTCAAAGTTTATTTGTTTTGTTTTATTATTTTCACCACTCGTTTCATGATATATTATATTCATCTCACCTTTGGTTTTGTAGAAATTTTAATGTAGTTTTTTAAATTAGAAATTTTATTTTTTTATTTTCACCCACGAGCGAATAAAACTGAGTTAAAAATAAAGTCGGTCGTATCTTGTAACATGTAATGTGAAAAACATTTCAGACGGAGGGAGTACTTATTTCAATAATTTTTATTTTCCCAACTTCTTCCGTTTACTCCACATTTCTAACTTTTTCCAATTTTTTTAATTCTTTCTAATTTTTCAATTCCTCAATGGTATGTTTGGGAACATGGATTTAGATTTCAAATCCGGATTTGGTGAAAATTCCATGTTTGGAAAACTTAAAAATTTTGAATTTAGTTTTGATTCAAATTTCTCTCATTAATAACAAAGCTTAATTTGAAATCCATGCACCTCCTCTTGTCATTTAAAATTCAAGATTTCATATTTTGGAATTGAAATGCATGAATTGAAATGAAATACTAGTTCCCAAACACCACCTAACGTTTTTTCTAACTCATTCCAATTATTCAAACTCTTTCTGTTTTTTTCCCCACATTATTCCAATATATAACTCTTTTTTCCAAAACAAAAAATAGAGCATCTATCGATGTATCTATCTATCTATACTTCTTATTGAATATCCCGCTATGCGGTTAGCTGACTTTTTTTTAAAGTAAAAACATTTGCTAAATTTGTGTTAAGTAGAAAAAAAATGCAGTTTTGAATTGATAACATGAGAATGTTTTTGAGAGTTTCAATTTTGTTCCTAAGCCACACCTTTAAAATGCCAATGCTTATATCAGTATCCATTCTCCCCATAAAGAATTTCATTCTGTAAGAGCAACTCCAAAGGGAAAAGGTAAATTGAGAAGGTATTTTGCTAATTTACCTTCTTAAAAAGGTAGATATACTTATTTATAAAATTCTTGACTCCAATGGAAGAAGGTAAATGGAGAAGGTAAGTATATGTTTCCCAAAATAAAAGTATTCTAAAGAAAGAAAAGAAATTGGTATACCTCTCCAAAGTTGAGGAGATAAATATACCTCTCCATAATTAAGGAAGGTATAATAATACCTTCTCATTTACCTTCCCCATTGGAGGATAAACTTATGTGTAGAAAAGGTAAATTTGACAAATATTGTTCTTTACTTTTTGTTTTACCTCCTATTGGAGTTGCTCTAAGGTAAAAAACTGTTGTATACCCCGTCTTCTTTTGCAGTAGCTCGGGTTCATCCATGTACTATATTAACCTCATACTCTCTCCGTTCCCGGTTCCTGTATATTCGTCAAATTTGACGTTTTGGAATCAAGCTCGAGAAATTTTAATAATCAATTAGTCTCTAATTTTATTGCATATTAATATAACAAAAAAAGATTTTGAAAGTTCAAAACAAGCTAGATAGATAAATCAAGTAAAATTATTTTAAAACTAAGGGTATGTTTGATTGAGGAATATTTTTTCTAGAAGAATAATTTCCAAAGGAAAATGATTTCCATTGAAAATTATTTTCCAATCATATTTTTCATTGTTTGGTAGGAAGAAATTTTTTTCTTAAAAAGTTAGTGTCTATAGTTAATATTTGAAAATTAATATTGGAAAAAAATGTTTTAAGACAGTTTAATAATATTTTATTAGCTTAGGGGGTGATGCAGGGTGGATGGGAGGGGTGGGGGTGGACGGGGTTCATGGACGGGTGGGGAGTGACGAGAGACAATGGGTGGGGATAGAGGGCTAGGGGTGGGGGTGGGCGTGGAATATAGATTAGTATAGATTAGTATACATCAGAGGACGACCGTCGTGAGAATTTTTATCGTAAATTTTGATCGAAGAAGAAGAAGAAGAAAGGGGGTGAAAGAAGAAGAAAAAGAAGGGAGTGGGAGGGAGAAGAAGAAGAAGAAAAAAAGAAATGGGGTCAAATTGAAAATTTTAAAATATATAAAAAATTCTATTTTAGCCCAAATGACCGGAAGTTAACCTATAAACGGGTAAATGGACTTTTAGTAAAAGGATTATGTAAGTTCAAGTACTTTTGTAAAAAGATTTAGAGTTCAGGTACCACCTCAGGTACCATTACTGAAATTTACCCCAACATCAACAACAACAACGAAGCTTTATCCCACTAGGTGGGATCGGCAAAAAGATTCAAATGATGTCATTCAATGCTTGTCAAGTCTTCTTAGGTCTACCTTTTCCACCACCCACATGCATATTCACCATTAGATCAACCCTTCTCACGGGATGCTCTATTGGTCTTCTCTCCACATGTCCACGTTTTCCTCCAATTAGGAAAAAAATATTTTTCCCAAAAAATATTTTTCATCCACTAATCTTAGCAAACGTAAAAAAATAAAATCAAAATTTTCCTAAAATATATTTTCTGAACAACCAATCACACTTTAATATACATTACAATTTTTATTTAGGGCTTGTTTGGTTGGGGGAGGGGAGGGGGGAAATTTTTTTCTAAAAGAATATTTTTGAAGGAAAAATGATTTCCAAACAAAATTATTTCCCAATCATATTTTGCGTTATTTAGTAGGAAGATAAATATATTTCTTAAAAATTAGATTCTATTAGACGGGGTTCATGGGCAAGTGGCGAGGACAAGAGGCAATGGGTGGGGATATGGGGCTGGGGTGGGTGGGATGGCGTGAGAATGCAGTGGGATTAATAAATGTTTTTCTTAAAGATTATTTTCTTACTTCAACATAATTCGCTTTAGTTATTTATTAATGAGGAAAATAATTTTTTTAATTCTTTAGAGTTTTAAAAAGAATATAAATTTTTTCATTGTTTACCAACAGAACACAATTATTTATTAATACTTCGTATTAGGGTCTAAATCGTTAGAATCAACCACTCCATATACTTCTATTTTCATTTCTTACGAGCTTGAGGTTAGGTCTGGTGTCCAAAAATTCTCACTTTGGAAAATGTGCAAAATCCCATTATTTTTAAATAATTTTATTTACAAATTTGTAAAGAAATAAGAAGTACAAATCCTATCGTTCAAAATTAAATCAAAAGTTTTCCAAAACAAGATGCGATAAGATAATTCTACTTTATCGAACTGTCAATAAAAATGTGCGGACAAACTAAAATTACAAGATATCAAAATAGTAATTACGACTAATTTTTGGGACGAAAGGAGTATTATCATTAAGTGAAACTCTTTTTTTCAATTTATGGGATATACCTTTTTTAATTCAATTTATTATCTCAGGGAATGATGCATTTTTATTCGCCCATAGTGCATTTTCCTACGCGGGTAATGCATTTTACAAAGTTCAATTAAATTATGAAACTGCCACACATTTTTTTTTAATTTTTTCTTATTTTTTAAATTTTTATGACTCCTAGATCTCACATTCTAAAGCATTACATGCATTCTTATTTCTCTCCTAAGCTTGAGTGGTATAAACTCAAATTTGGCTTCCCAAAGGGTTTGCAAGCTTTAAATAATAAAATATGGTTTTTCTGGAATGATTCTCAACTATCTCTTCAGGCAGTTATAGAAGAGGAACAAATCATCTCCTGCTGTTTCTCTAACCCAGGGGGGTCTCCACCTCTATAGATTTCTAGTATCTATGGCAAGCATTCCAGAAAAGATAGAGAAAGCTTATGGACTTCCATGAGAGATCTGTTCCCCAGGAATGACCCTTGGATCCTAGGAGGAGATTTCAACACTATTGCCTCACTGACTGAACACAAAGGGGAGGTTTGCCCAGATATTGGAAGCATAGAGGACTTTGTGCAAACTATTAATGACTGTAAACTCATATCTCCTCCTTTCTTGGGAAGTCAATTCACATGGTTTGGAAAAAGAGGAAGAGGTAGAGTTTACAGAAGGCTGGACAGGATTCTCATAAATGAACACTGCATGGACCATTTCCAGCTCACAGAAATAAAGCACCTGGGGAGAGGCTTTTCAGACCATAGGCCTCTTCTTATCAAAGCCTTCTCTAGTCAGCCTATTGGGCCTAAGCCTTTCAGATTCATCAATGCTTGGTGCTCCCACTCCTCCTTTAATGAACTCCTTCAAGCAAACTGGCCGGACAGTTACACAGGAGGGGGAATGAGAGGCCTGGCCCGAAAGCTTTCTAATTTTAAGAAGGCCCTCATCACTTGGAATAAGGAGACCTTTGGTAATATTTTTGAGGCTGTTTCCAAAGCAGAAGAAAGGGCATCTAAAGCAGAGGAGAATCTTGAACAGAATGATAGTGATGAAAACCTTACTGAATTCAAACTTGCAAAAGCTCTCCTGCAACAAGCTTTGAAGAAGGAGGAATCTTTTTGAGCCCAAAAGGCAAACATTAAATGGATCGCGCAGGGTGATGCATCTACGGCCTTCTTCCACTCCTTTGTTAAAGGGAGAAGAAATAGACTGAAAATTACTTCATTAAAAGGGGCTGATGGATCAGTCTATCACAGGAAGACATAGCCAGCGAGGTAGTGCAACACTTCACAAGGGTCTTCTCCACCATTAATGAGGGTGATATGGGTGATATCCTAAGACACATCACCAGCACTATCTCAGAGGCTGTAAACAAAGCCATTGGAGCCATGCCAGAGGAGGAGGAAATCAAGAAAACTGTATGGTCTCTCAATGCTAATAGCACAGCTGGAACTGATGGCTTTAATGGCTTTTTCTTTAGATTTCAGGAACCTTTTAAAACTCAGGAGTGCTCTTTCCACCTTCATGAAGGCTTCTGGACAGGAAATCAACTATGCCAAAATCCAAGTGTTTGTCCATGAAAAGATGAAAGCATCAACAAAGAGAAGCATAAAAAGAATCCTGGGTATCAACTGCAATTCAAAGGAATTCACTTATCTTGGATCCACCATTGTAAAAGGAAAATTGAGGAAAATACACTGTAAAGGCCTGATTGATAAGTTTGAGAGGAGAATTAACACTTGGTATATTTATAGCAAGAAGCCAAACCAAATGGGACGACTCATATATTCTCATCAAACATGTATTATCCTCAATCCCTTTACATATTCTGGCTGCTCAAGCAATCCCCAAGTCCATTATCAAGAGCCTTAATAGACTTATGGCAAATTTTTTCTGGGGTGCTAAGGACCGGGGGTATAAATTTCACTGGCGCAAATGGGAGAAAATGTGGTTGCCTTTTGATGAGGGGGGACTGGGCTTTAGGAGCGTCACACACTGTCAACAAGCAGCCTCGATGGATCTTTGGTGGAAAATCACTCATGGACAGTCAATATGGAGCATTTACATGAAGGAGAAATACCTTAGAGATGGCCTATACAAACCTCAGATTTATGACTCTTACACTTGGAAGGCAATATGTAAAATTATCCCTAGCAATCTACCACTTTGCTCAATCACCCAGGAAGAAGTAATATGTAATGATGGACCCTATAGTTTTCAAAAAGCCTATCTTTCCACTTTAACTCATATGCCGAAACAAATCAGCTGCTCTTACATTTGGGACAAAAAGCAATTGGGAAATATTAGTATATTTCTTTGGAGGGGATTGAATAGGCTGCTACCTTTTCCTTATCACCTTCAAAAAATGAAGATCTTCATCTCAGCACTGTGCCCATTTTGCAAGGAGGATAATGTAGATGACCACCACATCCTGGTGAACTGTAAAAGGGTAGCAGAGGTGTGGAAATCTTATGCTTATGCTGCAGCTGCCCCCCTCTTCACATGTGATCTCACACTTCATCAAGCGTTACCATGTTGGTGGTTCTCATCCAACAAGTCCAGTATCAAAGGAAACATCCGTATGATACTCCCAGGAATGATAACTTGGTCAGTTTGGAAGTACTACAATTCTATCAGATTTGAAAATAAAATCTTTTCTCAAGACAAACTCATGGCATCCATCAACCTATTGCTCCAAACCTGGTTCTGGGCACACAAAATGGATACAACCTTTCTTTATGATTCCAATGTGTTTTGACTTGGTATTCACACTTTCAAGAACACTAGAGTGAACTATTAGTTCCCGGTTTATTGTAATGCTCCTTCTTTTTCCCTTTTAGATGAATAAAAGTTCCTTTATATATATATATATATATATATATATATATATATATATATATATATATATATATATATTGGAGGAGAAGGTTTCAGTAGACTTTTGAATCACTATATGGACAGCAACCTTATTCAAAGATTCAATGCAGGTAGTATTAAATTCCCTAGCCACCTTTTCTACGCTGACGATCTTATGATTTTTTCAAAAGGGGATACCAGGAATTTGCTTAAAATCAAGAAGGTTCTCACCGTTTATCTCCAGGCATCTGGCCAGGAGATCAACTATGCCAAAAGTAGATTCTTTGCCAGTAAGAAGACTCACAGTAGCAAGATCAAGAACATGGAGAATGCTGTTGGTATAAAGGCCGGGACCCTCCCTTTCACTTACTTGGGGGCTACCATATGCAAAGGCATGACCAAGAAGGAACACTTGCAAAACTGGTTGTCCTCTTTCAAAAACATGTCCACTCCTGGTATAGCAAGACTCTCAATCAGATGGGCAGACTAATCCTTATCAAACACGTCCTCTCTTCCATTCCTTTGCACATTATGGCGGTCCAAACCATTCCCAAATCAGTTATCTCTACTCTCAACTCCCTCATGGGTAATTTCTTTTGGGGACAGAAAAACGGGAATGCAAAATATCACTGGAAAAGCTGGAGCCAGGCCTGTTTACCAACGTCAGCAGGAGGGTTGGGGCTTAGAGCACTTGATGGAGTTCATCAAGCCTACTCGTTAAAACTATGGTGGAAGGCTCAAAATGACCAAGGCCTTTGGGCGTGCTTCGTCAGGGCCAAATATTTAAGGGATGGCAGCTTTAAAGAACGTATTACTGATTCCCCCACTTGGAAGAGGATCTGCAGAATTCACGATATCGGAGCAGCCCAATGTTCCAGCACAGGTAGTGGCATGACATGGGATGGGGGAACTTTCTCCATTAAAAAAGCCTTTGACGTAGGGGAGTCCATATATCCTACTTTGATCACCAAAAAATTTATTTGGCATAAATTACAGATTCCCAAGATCAGGCTATTCCAATGGAAATGCTTTAATGGGGCTCTTCCCTTCCCATATACTCTTCGTAGATTCAATCTTGCACTTCCAAGCCGATGCTGTTTCTGCCAGGCCTATGAAGACGGTTTGGACCACACCTTGCTAAACTGTCCTTTTAGCAAGGAAATTTGGGATTACTTTGGTCACTTGTCCTCAGGGCCAATTATGCACAGAAACCTTCTTCTTAGACAACATATGATCTCCTGGTGGCTAACATCCAACTCACGCTCTTTCAAAAGAAACTTGAGACTGATATTGCCTGGAGTCATCGCCTGGAACCTTTGGAAAGCTCGAAACCTCTTCATCTACAAGGGTCAGTTTGCAACAAAAGAGTCTATCATTCAGGGATGCTTCAAGCTCCTTCAAGGTTGGTGCTGGGTCAACAGGGCTAAGAAATGGCTTATACTCGATGATGATCTCAGGGGTTGGGGGTTTGATGGTTACTGGAGAAACGGGCACAGGATATATCGTGTTCATTAGTGTTGTATTTTCTTTTCATTTTGTACTCCTTCGGGCTGGCCTTTGCACTTAATAAATTTCTCTTTAATATATATATATATATATATATATATATATATATATATATATATATATATATATATATATATATATATATATATATATATATATATATATATATATATATATATATATATATATATATATATATATATATATATATATATATATATATATATATATATTAAACCCGAAGAGGATCCACCAAAATCGGTGGGGTAAGGTCCAGGCCGCCCTTACCAATTTTATTAGATAAAATTTTGATAACACGTTCGAGGAGGACTAGACCGAGGCCCCGAAGGTAGGACAAAATACATTAAAAGGACAGTTACAACAAAAGTAAAAACTGGCACAAAATACAAAACTGTAGCCCAAGAG